CATCAGCTATCAGTGGGGAGGAGAGCAGAGTAATGTAGCCAATTCATAGAGGGGGATTATTAGGAGGCCATGATTAGTAAGGGCCAATTGGAAATTTTGGCCAGGACACCGGGGTTACACCCCTACTCTTTTCGAGAAGCACCCTGGGATTTTTAATGACCACAGAGAGTCAGGACCTCGGTTTACTTTTGTATGTTTTCTATTTAATGTTCAATACCTTCAATTTTGTTTCAGGTGCTGTGGATGGAGTGAAACAGATCACCTGATATTTCAGAGTATTGTGGACCAATATCCACATGATATGAAAGACAGAAGAGTCTTATACATGGATATGTTGCATAGGCTTTTTCCTCACAAATCAAGGCAAGAGCTGGTAAGTTTCAGTACCTTCTTTAAGTATGATAATTTGCTGAGTGTCCATTATTTGAACTGGGTGAAACCTCAGCTCATTATGCTATGAATGATGTCCAGTACTACATACAATTGGAGTGTGAGCTGTAGGATTTCCAGTCTCACCCTGTGCAAACAGGTTTCTCCTCTGGCTGATATGCCACATCTTAGCTGTTGCTATGACAACAGAAAAAGTATCTTTCTCCTTCTTAAAGACCTGGCTTTATAATATCAACTGAAACTACATGGCATACTCTGCTGTGGACTTAGGCCTTAATGTTAAGATCGAACTGCTCTTTTATTTTTTGTTTTTGTTCTTTTTCATACTTGGCAAGCCATTCACCTGCATATGCCTGATACTGAGCCAGGCCTTTTCTTCTTGATAAAGAGAGTCCAAGAGGACTTCAGAATTTTATAATGATTTGGCCAGTAGAAACAGGGTCAGTTTAATTTGTAATGTTATATACCATTGAATTATGTACAGTAAATGTGTACAGCTACATTAAAAATACTTCACAGAAGACATAAATCTCTTTAAAAATACAGTATTAAGTAAAACGTGCTTGAACTAAAACAGCAGGAGACAGACCATGTGAAAGAAATTTGAGAGGACATGTAAATTAGTTGTAATCATTTTTTGCCTTTTTGTAACCTAATTAGAAAGGCAATGTTCAAATCGGGTATATTAATAATGCAAACTATCATGCTGTCTCAAAATAGAGTAAACAAACCTTGACTTGTTTCAGTGATTTAATGAGTGTAAAACAGTTATACAACCTGCTCAGTATCTTTGCTTTGCTCAAGGTACTGTAGAACAGTACACTTGCATGTTCAATAGATTCTGCTTAATGAACTATGTACAGTGTGTTTTTATCACCCTAATTGCACAATAAGAATTTTGGAGGATCTTAATTACAAAATCTCTTCTGTTTGTGTAAAAGGCAACTTATTTTGATATAAGGCCTATGTGTTTCTTTCATATACCTCTCTTTATATACTTATTTAAAGATTGCTGTCAGCTTTAAATAACTCATTTGTAAACATAATATTATGTAGACAAAAGCAACAGTAATTCTGAAACAGATTTGTTTGTTGATGTGAAAATTAAATGAATCTCTTTACCATGATATAGTTTTAGCACTGGTTTTTGCTTTAGGGTGTTCTGATGGTGGCACGGTGGTGCAGTAGATAGTATTGCTGCCTTGCAGTGCTAGGGCCTTGGAGTGCTATCTGCATGGAGTTTGAATGTTCTCCCTGTGTTTGAGTGGGTTTCCTCTGGGTGCTCTAGTTTCCTCCCACAATCCAAAGACATACTGGTAGGTGAATTGACTTCTGGGAAAACTGGCTGTGATGTGAGCGTGTTCCTGTTTGAGTCTGTGTGTGCCCTGCCATGGACTGGCATCCCATCCAGGTTGTATTCATCCTTGCACCCATTGCTTGCTATGATTGCTTTACTGCCCTACGACCCTACTGTATATTGGATAAATCGGTGAGAAAATGGATGGATTGGACAATGTGCTACATTGAAGTCAAGTAATTTTAAAAAGTTACATTGTTTAGTAGTTTATTTATATATGTGTTACTTGACATATACTGCTTTGTAGGTAAATGTTCTTGGAGTCTATAGTGTCATTCAGCTCTGTTATATATTGTTTCAAGGTTTCATTTTGAGAAGGCTTGTTGGGAAAGAACCCAGTTGTGTTACAGTGTACAGTATAGTAAATTCTATAGAGCCAGTACTGAATTCTGCAAGCAGCAGTGAGAACAAGTAAAACACATTATTGCAATGCGAACACAGGAAATGCAATAGCTGTCTAGATTTAAAAGTATATACTGTAAATCCTTTTAATGTAGAGAAGTCTATTTTAACCAGTGCTGAATGCAGTTTTTGTAATGTGCTGTAGTTCTTCACATTGTTTGGAAATGGCCTTAAATCCCCATGAATCTTACTAAGACCCTACCAAAGCATATACAGTATGGCACTGCTGTTTTTCGCTGTCTTTATTCATGTCTGAAAGCTTCTGCATGTCCACCTGATAAAATAGCGTCTTAGTTTTGTAAAAGATTGCTTAATGGATGTGTTGAATAGTGGTAACATCTGTTTTAGTAATCTGTATTTATTCAACTTTTGGATAAAATGTGATGAATTGGTCCTCTGCTTGGTCCCTACACATTCTACACATTAGCTGTGGTTTCTTGGCAAGAATGTTTATTTTTTAAACTCTAAATGCCCCCCCCCCCCAAGAAACAGAGGAAACAGACGATTTAATGACGATGAAGAGCTGAACCCGTAACTAACAGGAGTGACCTCCCATACTAAACCAAGATTAATCATACCAGAATGCGTACACAACCAATATTCTGTGACCATTTCCAGTAATTACCCGTAAATTCTCTTTGACCTTAGCAATTATCAGTCTTATCAGAACCGACCACTACTAATACTCCCTTCTTCTGCCACACACGAGCACTTTGTATTTAATTAAAATGCAAATCCAAGGCTTTGATTCCAAAGTGTTGACAAACAGGTTTGTATGTACAAGACAGCTAACACTTCAGAGTTAATATGTCGTCTCTGGCATCTGAAATAGTTTGGAATGTCTTATATGTCTTTATTTATTCTTTTTTCCAATAATGTGTTCACTAAGTCCAGATAAATGGCACAGAAAATGAAGTGAATGTAAAAGTAGACCAGTGTTTTAAAATTAAATATCATACATATCAAGCAGCCCAGGGGTCTCTCTGGTAAACTTGAAGGAGCCCATTGAGTGGTATATTTCAAAAGTCATTCGTGCCAGAATGACTCATGATTTGTTAAGCCTGTCGTGGCTGAAACATCATAAAAAGACTGAAATCGATTCTTCAAAAAAGTAGGTTTTTTTTTATTATTATTCAGCCGAAATGAGATATGGGGTAAAATAATAAAGTGCGCCCCCTGCTGATGTAAAATACACACACAAAAAAGAAAATATTAAATTCAGAATTTTAGGAAGATTTAATACAGATTATTTCCTACATATAAAAATGCCAAACTAAATAAAAAAATAAAGGAATCATCTTAGGAGGGGTTGAAAAGTGTCTCTTTATTTGATAAAATGCCTTTCGTCACAGTCAAAAATCTCTAAGTGCTTCCTAGCAGAGTCCCAGCTGACACGAAAGTCACAGACTGAAACAAAGTCTCCCCAGGGCTATGAGAACATCTTGAAAGGGCAGTGGGCCTGGGAACAAACCTAATTCTCATTCCATGTGGAAGAAGTTACCGAGGCCAAAAATCTGTAATGTGAACTCAGCCATGGTGGAGCTGAACACACCTATACTTGAGACAAGATCAAACGATCCCTTGTGTCCAATGTGTGACCAGGATATCAGTTTAATGCTTGTGAAACAATACCTTCTACAACGCAATCACTTTTATTACCATATTGGATTGGGTTTGGGGTACTTGCTTATTTTGGTTCAAAGGGAAGAGTACCATCTACTGCAACACGTATACAGTACATTACAGCAACAGTGTGATTTTCCTTAGAGGCATACTGCACAGGAGCTAAAAGCTGTGCAGGTCTTCTGTGCTTTCATGTGAACTGGAGTCGGGGTGATAGGACTACTTTAATAATAAGTTGAAATTATTCAAATTTGCCATGCAAATATCAGACACTATAAGTGACCACCTAGACATCCTCCAAATTACAATAAGTCTCTTGGTTTGCAACTATTTAAAGAACACATATGTCTAATTATCTTATTTTCAATAAAGATATTTAGCCATTTGATATTTTTATCCATTTAGTTAATCACCATTAGACTGGAGACATCAAATGCCCCCAGACAGCATCCAGTACAGATATGCTGACATTATAATGAATAGCCTTAGTGGAGCTATGCTGAAGGAGACGAGCACTGATTACTGTGGTTTTTAAGTTATTAAATGCAATGATTTAGCTCAAAGCATAATAAGGGTTATAGTGTGGTGTGGAACGTTTGGTTTAATGAGACTGGCAGATGACAGCGCAGGTATGAACAGTAACGGTGTGTTTTGATGCAGAGTGATCACGAGAGGCACTGGGACTGGTATCGCTTCACTGTGGAGCAGAAGAAAGCAGTGCTGCAGGGCTGGACCAGAGACCGCACAGACCTGCTCATGAAGGCAGTAATGACCCTGGAAGAAGCGTGCTCTACCTACGATGAAGAGGTGGCGCTCAGGATGGATCGGAGGCACCAACAGAAAGTTTGTGCTGAACTAAAAGAAAAGGTAAGTTATCGGGAGGACATGGTTACAACTTGTTACACGCTCTAACTTGTTTTGCTAATTCCAGTGCCATTGCTTTTCCCAGGTAAATTGCTTTTGGCATCCTGTAGGAAAAAGAATAAAAAAGCTGTAATTTTATTTAATTATGTTTTTTTCTATTTTAGGAGTTTGCATTGCATCTCAGTCATTTCTATGCAAGGTGAAGTGTTGCATGAAACCTGGGGTTTTTTAGCTATTCTAAAATAGTATGTGGGTTTGGTCTGTTACTTTTTAAGTAGCTGTGGGCTTTTGAAAAGTAGTAGACAGCTGCTAATTAAGATAATTGGGTATTTCAGTTTTGCTTTTATTATTCCACAGAGTTTGATGTTATTTATATGTATTTGCACAGTGACTCCTTATAGTTTGCTTTCATTTACAAAATAATACTTACTCTGAGGTTTGATGTCTTCTCTTTAATGTCTGTGAAAGTGACTGCAATTTAGTCAGCCAGTCTTGCAGCATTGCCTGTGCTGTTGGTTTTGCAACAGAGGTCTCATTTCAGGCTTGGCATAGGGCATGAGCCTTATCTGGGGCAGATACAGAATTGTTCTTGCCTATCAATTGGCTAGTCTGTTCATGTGCCATGCAATTGTTGTAAAATCTCAGATTTCATAAAACATATATTTTTTTAATTTTCTTCAGACACTTGCATGGACATGAATAAGAAATAAGTTCAATTAAAGGTATGTGACATTTACAGAATCATGTCCAAAAACTAAGGTGGTTCTTACACCTTTGAGACTGTCTTTCCTTTTTAAGTATAGTATTTTGCATCATCTCTTCCACATTTACAATATTTAAAGTTTTATCAAAAATATTTCTTGTATGTTTTCAATATTTTTTCTTGATCTTAATTGAAATCATTTAGCTATATACTAAATACCTTCTCTTTATGTGCAGTGCTGAATGCAAATTTACAGGTTAAATTCTGTAGATTTTCACTTGTATATTAGAAAACCTTTTGTCCAACTGATAATGTGAAAGAAATTCCATTAGTAAATGAAGTTGCAAATTTTAGACAGTGTTCTAAAAAACCTGTGTTGGAAATCTTTGAGTTATTTTCTAAAAGCTATGTTTAGAAAATTACTTTTCAGATCAATGTCATTTTTTCCATATAAATGTGGTACTTTCCAATAAAAAGGAGATGCTTTTTCTAGATCCTGTTGCTCTGAAACTTGTTTTATCCACAGCTGGCTGTTCGGCACCCACTGGTTCCTCTCAATAAGCAATTGCTTATACATTTACTGTAAAATCAATATCAGCTTGCTTTTTCCTCACCTTAAGGGTAAGCAATGATTTTTCCCAAGGGTTTTTAGTGTCAGTTGTCACATGGTGTCTGCCACAGAGAAGATGGCTTCATTATTTGGGGAATTTCTTCTCAGTGCAAATAATACTGTTATATTGTAGGACTATAGAAAAATTGAAAACTAAATGAGTTGAAGGGGGCTAAATGGTTTCTTTACTTGCCTTTCTAATAATGTTCAGGTTATTAAGAGTCTGAGCATGTATTCTTATTCATGACCTACTGAATAATTTAGTGTACTATTACTGCACTATTGTAGTTTAGTATTATTAATATTGCAACTGAAAGAGACTTAATGCAAAAAAAAGGTTTCTGTTATATTAAAACAAATACTAGTGTTTTCCAGAAAAATCCCTTAGGGCTCTTCTGTGTCAGGTTATCTAAAAACATTCCTTTGCCAAACAAAAAGTATCACTGACCCGTCTGTTCCAGCCCAATCTGACTGTACAGCTTGATTTGGTTTTGAAATCCACCCCTGTTGCTACTTAATACAAAACAGGGCAAACCATTTTCTGGTTAAGGCAAATGGACTGCATGTGTTGGTAACCTCTTGTTTAATTTACTTTCTCGTGACAGTGCTTTTTATGTCTAAACCACAATCAATGAAAACTTAGAAGATGTGAGTTTTGTTTTGTGTTTTCATATGTCTTTTGTAAAAATATCTTCAGAAACGGGCAACATTGTGAAGCTTTTGTTAACAGCCAAATGTGCATCATATAAAGTGAATAATATAAAATATCACTGAAAATGTTAATATACTACAAAAAGCTGCAGGAATGTATAACTTTTGTTATTGATGCACGGTGACAACCTTGTATCAAAAAATGGAATCATGATTGGAATATGTTTGATACTCCTGAAATACATTCCCTATAAAATAATAACAAAGTACCACATTGCGATAATCCTTAAGCATTTTATAATCCCTGTATGTGGTGCTGCCATGCACATTATGCATGTTATTCCTCTAAGTCTCTCTATCCGCCTCTGCACTTTTCTCTGTGTTCTATATAATGCAGAATTAAAAATAATAAAAAGGCCATTGCATTACCATAGTGTATTATATCTTTAGATTTTATAAGAAACATAGTTATTTGAAATACATTTTTATTTTATTCCAGTGGTTAAAATTCTTTAAAGGCTTTTTGGGTCTTGTTGTGTTTTTATAAACCAAAGGCCAAAATATCACCATGGTTACACAGAATTAAAGCATTTAGATAATAGTTTACAGCTGCCACATCTTTATCTTGTATAGCTCCATGGATTTGATGAGCTATTGTGTATACGCACATTTGAATACTGTACAGGCAATTTAAATATTGTGCTGGGTATAAAATTTAGTGTAAAGCCTTGAACATCAAGACTGAAAGAGCAAATCATTTGAGAAGGAGGGAGAAAGTTATAGGTAAATAGTTTTTTCAGTGGGTAGGAATTTAAAATATCTAGCTGCAGTGTACGAACGGTTACACATTAACCATGTTCAGGTGTCCTATTGGAAAACTTTGCTTAACCCATGTCTGTGATGTTTTGTTTCTGGTATATGTGAAAAAATCATTTGACTACCGCTGCAGAAAAGAACACTAAAGTCAACCAACAAAAAACTGCAGGTTGATGACTGTCAGAGAAGAGTGTAAAATATGAGTCATAGAAGGTCTTGAAGCTGACAGTTCTGTTGGATTAACTGTCCCATTGGCCTCCATTAATCTTAAACAACAGTTCCAGTCTTGGCATAACGTTGAGGGCGGAAGGAGGAAAAAAGATATTTAGCAACAATTTACTAGGTGTTATAGCAAAAACAGAATGTATTTCCAGCACTGTATAACTTTCACAGATTATCAGCATAAATACATTTAATATTTCAGAGAAATGCTAATCTAATTTAATGTAGCAGCATATTTTCATTTTTCTACATAACAAAGCTGTTAAAATTACAAATGGCAAAGTCATGTTATGATTGGAACATTTACAACAATAAACTTTCACATTTGTTTCAAGGAACACTTATGCACAATCACACTTGAAATAGTTCATTTTGAGCATAATGAAGAGGAAGTTATTAAACGCCTTTTATGGACCCCCCAACGAGGGAGATAATAGCCATCATCAGCACAGTGTAACATCACATTAATCGAGAAGCGTCTTTGAAATTTCACTTGCAGATCAGAAGGGGCAGCTGCTCTTCTGTCTTTTCTGACATTTCCGGCTAAAGGATTTACGACTGGAACAGTTTCTTATCAGTTGTTTTTTACAGTTCGAATTCTGCATGTTATAGAATGGTGGATGTTCTGTGGAAATCCTCTTACAAAATGATTGAAATAGGGAGATGGATCTTATCTCCAGATACAAGTTTTCTCATCCATGGCACTTTAAATGTGACAGTGAGTTTTCATGCAATGAAGTACTTTTTGCACATTAATGTTTTCACAGAAACCGTGTTAATGATGTAGGCATCAGTGTGCCTGCTGATTAATTGGTCAGATGAAAAGCAGTTTTTGCCCCATATCTTTCTTTCTTCTTGACTGAAAGGAAAGGGGAAATTGTAATAACTTCTTCATTATCTAGAGAACCAGAGATCTTTCAAAATATGCTAAGCGTGGTTTCATCTGAATCATTAACCTTGTTAAGTGCTTAAGCTGTTTAACTGTTTGCCTTTCATTCAGTTAACAAATTCCCTGAAAGATCCCTTTAATGCAGTATTAGGTCTGTAATGAGCTTATTATAATGACAATTTCTTTTGCTTGTTTGCTTCATATCAGGAGAATATGGTATAAGGCACATTAGGAAGTGATCAGACCATTTGAGATTTCTGTTTTAAGATTGTGTCTTGGTACCACTGCATAAAAATGAATGTAATGAAGTGAATCCTATTAAATAAGTTAAATCTAAATTATTTTATTAAATCAAACCATTCAATATTCATCCTTAAAAAATATGTTCAAATAAATAAGTATATTGGGATAACTGACCCACCACTGAAATACACCTGTCGTCCCACAAAACCCTGATTGTAATTTTATTTTGACTTCCATATTTTCAGTGCCTGTCAAAAAGACAAACCTATCTTACTGGAGCTGAGAAGAATTTGATTGATAGTGTAATTATTGCCTTGGGTTATCAGAGTGCTTAAGAAACTGCAGTTTTTTAGTCACTACTCTGCACATTAATTACATCCATACTATCAAGAGAAAGGAACTACAAATCAAATCAAATTTGGATCAAAGATTACATTAGCATTGATCAATGGTACCTGTTTTTCTACCCAACCTCTGTGTTTCTGAGAGAACTGTTTCGATTTACCATTTACTGTTAAAACAATTATTTTGTGGTGCTTGGCAAACAAGCATGTATCCACAGATGCATGTGCAGTTATTTTACTGACATTTTGGCAGATGACAGATTGCATGCAGATTAATACTAAATTAATAGGAGGATTGAGGTTTGAACGCTATTTTAGGAATACTGCATCCATCATCTAATTGTTGTTTTGCTGCACATCTTATAATTCAACAATACTGTACATCACTTTAATTTAGTTTATTTAAGGAGCGGTATATATCCCTATGAATGATTGCTGTGGTAAGCTAATAGCACAATTAAGTGTAATAGAAAAGTATATTTAAAATCATTAATTGATTTTAAATCATGAAGTGTGCACATTTAATCATATAGAAGTAAGGTGTAGTGTTATACAAACTTTGAAAAACATGGTAGATCTAATAAGCCGCATAAAAACTTAGGAAAACTGCTTCTATAACATGAACTTTTATTTTTTATTATTATTTTATTTATTTATTATAAATTATTTATTATTTTTACCCTTTTATTATTATTGATGTAGTTTGTTGATACATATATCCAAAGTGACTTCACAAGAGCGATGTGCCACCAGACATTTGAACCTAGAGC